GGGAGCGCCACCGCGCTCCCAAGTGGCGCACTGTAGCAGTGCGCCACCGGGCCGGCCCCGGAAAGCTGTTTTTAAAAGCTTAAATGAGAGAGGTGATATGCAGTAACTAAGTTTTTCTAAATCCTGATACATAGCACTTAGCATTTCTGAGAACTGTAGGGGTAGGTGTGTAGAGGTTATATCCTTAATTTGTGAAAGTCTTAACCTTTCTTTCTTTTTTTTTTTGAAGTTGTCTTCCCCATTTTCCATTCCCTCTCCACCCAAAAAAAGAAGTCTGCCATCCCCTTCTTCCTTTTTTTGGGGGGGGGGGGGGAAGATTGATTAAGATGACTTTCGTATGGATTGGCAACACTGATATTTTATGGTATACTTTTTTTTTTGCTCCCAGATACTTACTTTTACTTATGTTTTACATTTGCCTGGTTTCTAAGTGTTGTAAGTGTATTTCTGACCAGGTCAGAAAACTGCATTATCCCAGGTTCCTTTACTTTAGAACTAGTTTGGGGAATCCTGTGGAGGGAGATTGATAATTTTAATAGCTGACATTTCAAGAGTATGTCTTATAAGCATAAATATGCTTCCAATATGTGATAACCTGTTTAATCTTTACAACAACGCTGTGCATTAGGTAGGTAGGTATTATTATTGTTATTATTATTCTTTCCACTTTACAACAGACTCAGAGAGATTTTATAACTTGCCCAGTGTCACACAGCCAATAACTGGGTGAGCTGGGATTTAAGTTAAGGTTGTTTGAATCCAGAGCCTGTGTTTTTTTTTTTTTTGTCTTTTTTTTTTTTCGTGACCGGCAACGGATCGCAACCCTCAGTGTCGCGCCCGTACCGGACCGGGACCGGCAACGGGATCGCAACCCTTGGTGTTGCCCCTGCTCCTCGCTCAGCCAGTGAGCGGCCGGTCTGCATGTGGGATCCGAACCCTCGGCAGGAGTGCCGCCACGCTTCCCAAGCAGCGCACTGTAGCAGTGCGCCACCGGGCCGGCCCCCAGAGCCTGTGTTTTTAATTAGTGCTGTTCTCCCTAATTCAGGCACTCTGAATCCCTTTTGTCACTGCTTTCTTTTCTCCTCATTCTGTCTAATCCTTAGAAGTTTCTTCAGTCAACTCTGACTTTTTCCTAAAGTTGGTATTTGGTTTGTCATTAGCGAATTGGAAAGCTTTACAATGCTATCTAGAACAAATTGAGGGGAGGCTCTGTGTGTGTGTTGTATGTTTGTGCTCTCCCTATTCCCTTTGACAAATAGATTCTTATGATGCATTTGTCTTTTGTTTCTCAAAGAAAAAGTCCTTTTGGTAGTGCTGTTGAAGTACAGAGGTTAAAAACTAGCTTTTATTTCTATACCTAACACTTGGCTATCATACAGATCCAGTTTTCATTTTCTGTTACGTGTTTACATAGCACTTCAGAATTTAATGTACCAGTGGCCTATGTAGACTTTCTGATTATCTGTTTTAATTAGAGAAGATGATAGGTGGTGATAACTTTGCTTTTTAACTTTCCAGTTTTTCTTTTCTTCCCAACTTTTTACTTTGAAAGATTTTATACATAAAGTTGAAAGACTAGTACAACATCCATAAATCCCTTCACCTACTTCTCTCTCTCTATGTCTATACATGTTTTGTTGAGGTTAAACCATTTGAAAGTAAATTTCAGTCACCCATGATATTTCCTAAGAACAAGAACATTTTCTTACAAATCCATAGTACCATTAACACATCCATAAAAATAAAACAGTAGTTCTATAATATTCAGTATTAAACCCATATTCACGTTTTCACAGTTGTACCCAAAATAGCTATAGCTATTTTCCCCAAACCAGGATCCAAATCAAAAGTTACATGTAGCATTTGGTTAAGTCCTTTTAGTCCCTCTAATTGCTTTTGAAGTTTAATTTCTTTAGTCGTCTTAACTGACTTGGAAAGCTTCATATGACCTCAGAAAATCTATGCCTGAACTTAAATTATTTATTTATGGGTGGAGAGTTGTACGTTTCATCTTTTTTTAGTGCTGCTTACTCACTTTAGCTTTATATTCTCTTGAGTAGGACTAGTAAAAATGGATTCCCAAGGGTATTCTCTTAAGTGTTCTCTAACAGGGTTTGGCTCACATTTAAAAATATCTACCTAAAAGCTCTTTTTTCTGAATCCTCTTGTTTTGATTACCGTTGTAGTCAAATTGCTTTGAGCCTAGTTGAAAAGGGCCATGCTAGATCCAATGGAATATGTACTTTTGGTGTTTGACAAATGTCTTTCGATCGCCTTTTATTGCTGCATTTTAAAATGAATTTCTTTCTTTCTGATCTTTTACAGAGTGAAGTAATTGGGAAACTGTTCATTTGAGGATAACAAGAAGGCATTGTATTATATTTTGCCAAATTAAAGCCTTATTTATGTTTTCACCCTTTCTACTTTGTCAGAAACACTGAACAGAGTTTTGTCTTTTCTAATCCTTGTTAGACTACTGATTTAAAGAGAGAGAGAGAGAAAAAAAAAAGCCAACTCTGTAGACACCTTCAGAGTTTAGTTTTATAATAAAAACTGTTTGAATAATTAGACCTTTACATTCCTAAAGATAAAATAAACATGTAATCTTTTATTTTGCTCAATAAAATTGTTAAGAAGATCAAAGTGGTAAAGACAATGTAAAATTTAACATTTTAATACTGATGTTGTACACTGTTTTACTTAACATTTTGGGGAGTAACTGCCTCTGACTTCAACTTAAGAAAACACTTTTTTTGTTGCTAATGTAATCGGTTTTTGTAATGCGTCAGCAAATAAAGGGATGCTTATTATTCAAACTTGACTTGTTCTAATTCTTAATGAACTTTAAAAGATTTCATTAGCACTACAACTACATAACTTAGAATTTGATTATTAATTGCAACCATTGAAAAGATAAGATAGGTTATGTTGCTTTTATAAAACCTTTCTAACTGGAGCTCTGGGTCCTTTCTGTTTCTGTGCAATGTAAACTATGCCCAGGAGTGCTGTGTGTTACAAAAAGGACAGGGCAAGCATTTAGGGTTTCAGACTTAACCACCCCCACTTCAGGTAGAGGAGCTCTACTTTCTTTTTACTTTTACTATTTTTTTTTTTTTAAAGTCATAATAGCTTTTTGGTTTCCCTTTTCTGGCACTTTGTTACAGTTTACATGTGTTGTCTTTTTTGTTGGAAGGTTTTAAACTGAAGGACAAAGAGGGTAATTAAATTGTCCATGGCCTCAACAGCTACTAAGTAAGGGACCAGGATTCTAACTTCCAACCTAAGTTGTCTGGCTTGCCTTATTCAGACTCATAAACACGTGTGTGTGTGTGTGTGTGTAATTGTATATATATGTATATATATATATATTACATATATATATACACACACTGTATATATAAATTACTAGAGTAAATTTTAAAACTACCATACGACTATAACTTAAAAAACTACTCCAGTTATTTCCCTTCCTTTGTTCTGGATGTCAATGTGCCTTCTCTTATTTTCTCTCGATTTTACTTTCCAAGGGATTGTCTGCTTTGGTAGTTCTCAAAAGTGAAGTCTGTAGACCACTGGGCCACTGGGCATTCCCAAGACCCTTTTTAGGAGTTTGCAAGGTCAAAAATATTTTCATAATAAGATGTTATTTGCCTTTGTATTGATGTCTGCGCTGATGGTGCTTCAGCAAGTATCAAAGTAGTGGCTCCAAACTGTTTTAGTAGTTACTATATTTTCACTACTACTCAGTAAAAACAATATCAAAGTCATGTAAGAACGTCTTTTCTGATGAGATTGATAGTGATAGTAATGAATGTGATTTTTTGATATGTATACTGGGAACATGTCAACATCTGGAAGATCTGTATAACTCAGTGAACCAATATTTTTCAAATGACCAAGTGCACAATGTTAAGTCATGAATGGGTAAAAGGTCCTTTCAAGAAGAGCTAGATGGACCAATGGATTCTAACATAACAGTGCAAAAAGTTTACTGATATGATTTCAGACTCCATATTGTGATTAATCTTAAATAATTTATCACTTGTGGAGTTTGGCTGTAGGATCAAAGAATATCCACTGATATTATATGAAATGGCTACTCCTCTTTTTCCAGGAACATTTTTTTCATATATTTCAACCAAAACAATGAATCAAAACAGATTGAATGCAGAAGCAACTGTCTTCTATTCAGTCAGATACTAGAGAGATTTGCAAATATGTAAAGCAATGCCACTCTTCTGACTAGCTCTTTTTGGTTTGTTTTGAAAAATGAAGGTAGTTTATGAAAACATGTATGTTATTTTGTTATTTTAAAATTAATAAATGAACATTAAACATTTCTTAGTTTTAATATCTAGTACATTGAATATTGATAGCAATAAAAACAAAAGTTTATAAAAAAAAGGAGTTCTGACACCAAAAACACTGGTCTTGCATGTTTTTTCCCCAACAGTTTTTAGTTATATTGGGCAACTTAGCACTACATTTTGGATAGATTTTGTTTTATATTCAATTCATGTTTTCATAATTTTCATTCTCTTTATTTGCTTTGGAGTTATTTTTGCCCTTTGCCAACTGTTGGGAAAATAGAATAGTTTGGTCAGGACTGTCACCTTCCTGGTTTGTGTGTGTGTGTGTGTGTGTGTGTGTGTGTGGTTAGTGCGCATGTGGTGTGGTTCAACATCCTTTGTAAGCGTGTGTGTGTGTGTGTGTGTGTGTGGTTAGTGCGCATGCGGTGTGGTTCAGCGTCCTTTGTAAGCGTGTGTGTGTGTGTGTGTGTGTGTGTGTGTGTGGTGCGCATGCGGTGTGGTTCAGCATCCTTTGTAAGCGTGTGTGTGTGCTTGTGTGTGTGTGTGTGCGTGTGTGGTGTGCATGCGGTGTGGTTCAGCATCCTTTGTAAGCGTGTGTGTGTGTGGTTAGTGCGCATGCGGTGTGGTTCAGCATCCTTTGTAAGCGTGTGTGTGTGTGTGGTTAGTGCGCATGCGGTGTGGTTCAGCATCCTTTGTAAGCGTGTGTGTGTGTGTGTGTGGTGTGCATGCGGTGTGGTTCAGCATCCTTTGTAAGCGTATGTGTGTGTGTGTGTGTGGTTAGTGCCCATGCGGTGGGGTTCAGCATCCATTGTAAGCGTGTGTGTGTGTGTGGTTAGTGCCCATGCGGTGGGGTTCAGCATCCATTGTAAGCGTGTGTGTGTGTGTGGTTAGTGCCCATGCGGTGGGGTTCAGCATCCATTGTAAGCGTGTGTGTGTGTGTGGTTAGTGCCCATGCGGTGGGGTTCAGCATCCATTGTAAGCGTGTGTGTGTGTGTGGTTAGTGCCCATGCGGTGGGGTTCAGCATCCATTGTAAGCGTGTGTGTGTGTGTGGTTAGTGCCCATGCGGTGGGGTTCAGCATCCATTGTAAGCGTGTGTGTGTGTGTGGTTAGTGCCCATGCGGTGGGGTTCAGCATCCATTGTAAGCGTGTGTGTGTGTGTGGTTAGTGCCCATGCGGTGGGGTTCAGCATCCATTGTAAGCGTGTGTGTGTGTGTGGTTAGTGCCCATGCGGTGGGGTTCAGCATCCATTGTAAGCGTGTGTGTGTGTGTGGTTAGTGCCCATGCGGTGGGGTTCAGCATCCATTGTAAGCGTGTGTGTGTGTGTGGTTAGTGCCCATGCGGTGGGGTTCAGCATCCATTGTAAGCGTGTGTGTGTGTGTGGTTAGTGCCCATGCGGTGGGGTTCAGCATCCATTGTAAGCGTGTGTGTGTGTGTGGTTAGTGCCCATGCGGTGGGGTTCAGCATCCTTTGTACGCGTGTGTGTGTGTGTGTGTGTGTGTGTGTGTAGTTAGTGCGCATGCGCGCCAATGTATATTTTTAGTTTTGTTGCTATTCTTGTGTTCTTGAGAGAAAGAGAAAGAGAGAGAGAGAGTTTGGTGAAGTAGGTGGGCAGGCATTGGCCTTGGGATGCCCTGTGCAGCCATGCTTTCCAACCTATGGCTTTCAAGGACCTTTTGGCTGGTTACCTAACTCATAGACCTGAGTGAAGGTGTCTGGTGACCCGGCCTGGTGTGAAGGGGTCTGGGGACCCAGCCTGGCATATCAAGGGTTTGTGGCCCAGTCTGTGAATGGGCTTGAGGGGTCTGTGGGCTCCAGACCCAGCCCTAGCTCGACAATTGGCCCAGTTGGTGCAGGATTACCAGCAGGTAAAAGAGCCCGACAACTGGCATAGTCGAGTAGCTAGACAATTGGTGTCATGAGCAGGATTAAGAAAGCTAGGCAGTTAGCACCGTGAGCAGGATTCCAGGCCTTAGCCCTAGCCAGACACCAATTTGCCTGTAAAATGTAACATATTTATTTTTAATTCTTGTTTTCTAATAAATTCATTTTAGCCCATCAGTTTTCCTCTGGACTTCTTTGCACCTAAGATTTTGGTATTTAAGGACTTTGTCATCTTTCGGTTTTTAATTTTTTGAAAAAAATCACGACTATTTCAAACACTTCAAACAAAAAGTATTTTAAGTACTTTTCTATTCCTACAGAAAATAGAGAAAAATGTACCCTTCTCTATCAAATATTAACATTTTGTCATATTCATCCATATTCTAAGTGGATGGTAACAGGGTCATTCCAGTTTTGAGCTAGTGTGGACAATGCTGCTATGAACACTGTGGTACATATGTCCTTGGGCACATAGATATTAGTTTTTTCTAGGGTATATACCTAGGAATGGAATTTTTGGTTTATAGGGTATGTACATGCCCAATTTAATTAGGTACTGCCAGACTGTTTTCTATAGTTGTTATTTTAACTTACATTTCCACAAAAAATGTATGGGAGTTCCCATTGCTTTATAACTTAACACTTGGTATGCTACAAATTATTTTTCTTTTGCCAGTATCATGGTAGTGAACTGAGATCTCATGGTTTGTTTTTATATGGTTGTATTAAGGTATCATTGATGTACGTACAATAAATTGCACATATGTATACAGTTGGATGAATTTTGCAATATGTATATACTTGTGAAACCATCACCACAATCAAGATAATGAACATAACCATTAGCCACAAAAGATTTCTTGTATCCCTTTGTAATCTATATTCTTTCCTACTTCCATGTCCCCAGGCAACTCCTGATATGCTTTCTGTCAGTACAGGGTAGTTTTCTAGAATTTTACAGAAATGGAATCATACAATAGGTACTCATTTTTGTCTGGCCTCTTTCACTCAGCATAATAATAAAAACCATTAGTTACTTTTTATTTCTGAGTATTTTGCATTATGTATATATATTGTACTACAATTGGTTTATCCGTTCATCTGTAGATGATCATTTGAGTTGTCTCCAGTTTTTGGCTATTACAAATAAAGCTGTTATGAACATTTATGTACAAGATTTGTACGTAACTGTTTGTTAGATACATAAACCACAATGCCAAGCTATAATTAAGCATTCAGGAGATGTCCATCAGGATAATCTGTATCAGTCTTTTCCACAGATCATCCTTTCAGTAAGAAGGCCTGCTCCAGCAATCAAATCACAGATCAGGAGGATTTTGAGGGACTAATGATTTGGGATATGGTGGGCAGGAGGGAGTCAAGAGACACCAGCATCCCTGCATTGCCCATCCGTCTCTGCCCTTCAGATATCACCCTGTGACTTCATTCTTCTAGTTCCTTTCTGACGATCCAGTCACCACCACTATGTTTGAAGCTGATCCACCTTCCTACTGATACTCTTTGTGACCTTTGTTTTTGTTTGCTCTAATAATAAAAATAGTTAACATCTGTTGGGCTTTCTCTATTCCAGCATTCTTTTCCCTAATGGCTCACCCCATCCTAT